TGATCCGTTTCTTCAATAAGTCCGCCATCGCAGCTGCAGATTTGCCGTGAGTGGTAATGAGTGATGTGTTATCTGTGTGTGTGTGTGTGCGGAGACGGGGTGTGTGAAGTCATTAGACGATGTAATTAAGTCCTATTGTAACAGAAGCAGACTCGGCTCTTTAACTATGGGGCGTCAATTTTGTTCTTGTGACAATGACCTACATTAACAAAGAAGGAGTTTTACTGCTGGATTATCATTGTGTTTACTTCAGAGGGATTACCAGCATTACATTGGAGTTGTAATGAGAAATATATGTGTCTTTTAAATACCCTTAGTTTGGATTTGACTTTGGAGCAGTAATCGTGGAGCTTGCTTGTTGTGAGGGATTGGTTGTTACTATTTTCTCCTCTGACGCATGAAAACAATTTTTTACAGATTGCAGTTATCGCTCGCTCATTTCAGACATTTGAGAGATATCACTTTCCACCACAGGGGACTTTTGTTTTCCTAATATTGGGCAACAACAGCGCTGGTGTGCAAGTGAAATCAAGCCTCAAACATTCAGCCAGGATGCAGGAGCTGAGCCAAGCCAGTGTCAAATAGTTCCCTGTCCCTATGGCGCCAAAAGGTGCCCTGAGAGTGCACTTGCTCATTAGCCCAAAGCATTTCTCCATAGAATCTTATCCTTTGGTTGTTACAGCAGAGCATAATCCAAATATATACTTATGAGAATACAATATTTTCATTTTAGTTTCATAATAATCTTCTCTAAGATTATAAGTGCATAATGGAAACAATGGAGCTCCATCATACATTCTTGTAGTACTGCCATGAGAAAAAAACGTCATAAAAACAGCACATTATATTACTAAGAATTCTTCAGATTTTGACTTTACTCAAAGTATGTTTTGACTTTTTTTAGAATATGACCTTGTCCTTGTATTTTATTCACCTTTATTCTCGTATCAGTTCTCTGACTTTTTCTTTATTCTCAAACTATTTTGATTTTGAAGTCGAAATATTATGAGTAGTAAATGATAAAATAAGGGGTTATTCGTTTGTCACTATAATAATCATCCATCCATCCATCCATTTTCTTCCGCTTCATCCGTTGCCAGGTCGCGGGGGCAGCAGTCTAAGCAGAGACGCCCAGACTTCCCTATCCACACACACCTCCTCCAGCTCGTCCGGGGGGACCCCAAGGCGTTCCCAGGCCAGCTGGGAGACATAGTCCCTCCAGCGTGTCCTGGGTCTTCCCCGGGGCCTCCTCCCGGTGGGACGTGCCCGGAACACCTCCCCAGGAAGACGTCCAGGAGGCATCCTGAACAGATGCCCGAGCCACCTCAACTGGTTCCTCTCGACGTGGAGAAGCAGCGGCTCTACTCCGAGCTCCTCCCGTGTGACCGAGCTCCTCACCCTATCTCTAAGGGAGCGCCCAGCCACTCTGCGGAGGAAGCTCATTTCGACCGCTTGTATCCGCGATCTCGTTCTTTCGGTCATTACCCACAGCTCATGACCATAGGTGAGGGAGGGAACGAAGATTGACCGGTAAATCGAGAGCTTTGCCTTTCGGCTCAGCTCCCTCTTCACCACAACGGTCCGATACAGAGACCGCATAACTGCGCACGCTGCACCGATCCGCCTGTCAATCTCACGCTCCATTCTTCCCTCACTCGTGAACGAGACCCCGAGATACTTGAACTCCTCCACTTGAGGAAGGACCTCTCCACCCACCTGGAGAGGGCAAGGCACCTTTTTCCGGTCGAGCACCATGGCCTCGGATTTGGAGGTGCTGATTCTCATCCCAGCCGCTTCACACTCGGCTGCAAACCTATATGCAAAACTATAATAATCAATAGTATAATATTACACCTTCAGAGTTGGAGGATTAAAGACACAAAATACAACCCGGAAAATGTCTCCATTGTGTAGTTGGATGGCACATGCAGTTAATTCTTTAGACCAAGGATGTCAACTCGTGTTGGTTGGTGGCCAAGTTTAAAAACATAATTGCTTGTTGGGGTTAACTAAACATTATTTATTTATTTTTACATATTTTTTGTATTTTGACAAATTCATATTATTTGACTCTTGGATATTTTTTTCTAGTATGTTTGGATTCAATCACAACTGAGCCAAACATACAAAAAAAGCAATTTAAGATTCATAGTTAAGTATAAAAAGAAAATCTTCTTCTAATTACATGTTAGTAAACATCTTAGAACTGATTCAATTATTATTCAAAATAAGCTTTAAAATGAAGTATAACATGCCATTGTATCCCATTACCATCAACGCTGCTGTTAAATGTGATAATCATTAATAAAAATCATTTCTGGAAAATGGTCTCTCAGGCCAGGTTTTTGGCCCACGGGCCTGAGTGTGACATGCCGGCATTAGATGTGAAGTTCTGGTTAAAGCAGTTCATTATACAATCGTCTTCAAAACCTTCTTTAATTCCACACCGTTTGTTTTGACATCTTGGGGCTCTGTCTGTGGACACATTTGGTGGTGGTGTTTATAGACTGAGCTCTTGCTGTGGCCAGGACATGCAGATGGGGAGGACTGACCTGTCGTGACCTTGGAACGATGATCTGGTGGCGGAGGATGACGGCGACCTCAGGACGGCCCATGGTGCAATGCAGCAGAGATGAGTGGAGCTACTCTGACCCACATGCACATTGAACAAGTGAAACCACAATAGTGCTGCCCGAGTGCAAAGAGACACTGTATACAGTTCAGATCGATAAAACACATGGGGCTTGTGTTCCGGGGAATGAGGTGTGTGTCTGAGGCATCAGACGAGTCGGCTTCACCAACGTGACTCTGCACAATGGAGTGCTCCCGGATAAAGCTCAGACATGAGAAAGGACATCAATATGTGTAGATATGAGAAAAGTCAATAAAGATTACAAGTGGATCAAGCCGTTAGGGAACCGCCCAGAAAATTAAAAAACCTCCCTTCGCAACGCCATTTACACGCTCACTGTAATGGAAGCATGAAATACAGTGAGCTGCTACATTTGTTTTATGTACTAAACTGTTATTGCTCTCATGAATGTAAGAATTCTAGGAGGCCTGTGTAGGCAGACATTTTAGAAAAGCTATATATATACAGTGTACACTGGGCGTCCCCTGAGCACGACATGGAGCGTGACAATCTGATCACTCCGCATCAGCATGTTTCCAATTTAAAACAAGCAGAAAATACTGTCACAAAACAAACTCCCACAATGTGGAACTCTCTGTTCTGCAAACTGTCTGCACTCACAGAATATCAGTGTTTATATATGAATGTTGTGTGTTATGATAGTCTGGTATGTTAAGATAGCAGTGACACGAGGGTTGTTGCTAAATGGACACATGACAATAGCAAACATGTTCTACTATTAGTATACTATAGTAACACATCATTATTTAATCACATGTACAGAATAACAACCCACTGATGCTATGCTTAATTAATGAAGACATCCTACATTGACTAAGCTGTTTTTTTTCTGGACCTGGATACAGTTTGATGAATGTGATAATGCTTACCTTTTTCATTTTAAATATAGTAAAGTAAAGCATACATTGTGAAAGGAACAAATCTTTAATCGTGTGTCTTTGAGGGGGTTTAAGAGCCTTGACTGCAAACAAATCTAATGTTACAGCCAGTGGAGAAGCCTTTTACATCTGGACATGGCCTTCACCCCTTCCGCCTCATTATGAGCGCTGCAGAAAACCTTTGACCCATCACTCATGCATCTGACCTCTTCATCGGGCTTTTAGCTTGAAGACAAAAGTAAAAATAGAAACATATATGTGTTTTACATAAAGAAGAAGTTTATTATTTGATATATATATATATATATATATATATATATATATATATATATATATATTCCTTATGCATCTTCATATAATAGATCTAATACCAGTCAAAAATAATAGTCATATAATATTTATGTAGAGATATACAGATAGAAAACTAATCCAATCGTTGACTTATAGACCTTGTAAAAAACAATATGGAGAAATCGATAAGCGTCTCCCCAGCTTTAGTATATAGGCGCTTAGAGGGAGCAAAAATGACTAAAAAAGAACGTAACACCTGAACATTGCATCTTATAGTACTACAGTAATAGTAGATTATCTGTGAGCAGCTAAAGTCCACCATTTTGGTTTAAGACACAGGATAGAACAGCTTTAGACAAATACACAATTGCAGTTTTGCTTGTGAAAGTTAAAGTTCAATGATGAAATAGACTGATCGGGCATTACATCATGACCATTGGCAGCCATTGGCAACTGTGGAATTTACAATGAGAGGCATGTGCTTAAAGATGACGCCAGGTTTCACTGCATTTCCAAAACAACTCTATTGTCGTGGCTGTTGTTTTTCTCATATTCATTTCATAATCCATCCAATAAAGAGACAGCGGTCCGAATGGCTACTCTGGTCCCATGTCAATCATCCATTTAATCCAGTTCTGACCAAAAAGAGTACATACATAGCTGCATATTATTAGGCAGGTGGTCATAATGTAATGCCTGATTTGTGTGTAGGAGATACTGTATGAAGAACACATTCTAAATCACCCAAAGACTCACAAAGTATTACAATATATTTCAATACGCACTGAGGTGACGGTTAAAACAAGCACCTTTGAAGTTACTGGAGGACAAGGCTGCTAGGAAACAATATGAAGGTATGAGTTTAAATGTGCTTCTTATGATGGTCGACTTTTGTAAACAGTAAGCAGAAACCCCGCCCCCTCCATGTCTTTGTCCGGTCCTCGACGTCTCTCACAGTGGACTGGGACGATACCGATCCCTTCATACACTGACACGTTTGCATCCAAAAAACCTTGAGCCAAAACCAAACAGAAAGTGTTGCAAATATGGGGCTATAAGTCTTACAAGGACTATCCTGAGCCACACGCAGAGACTTGCAGCAGTGGAGACCGTTTATATATCCAGGACAGCGGGCAGCCATTTTCCATTCTTTGGGGAATCACAATGTCGGGCTGTGGTCAAGAAGAGGCGTCGAAACTGCAGAGACAAGAAAGGGCACAGATCTAATTAAAGCGTGGTCCGCTCGCAGGTCATTAGAAAAGCCAAAGTGTTGTGTGATTAATCGTTGAGTTGGAAATGTTAAGAGTCATTTCATTCACTGGTGGGGAAAAAAATTGGCTGGGTTGATTCGTTAACGGCTACTGAACACGCTAATTATGGATGCTGCTATGCCAGTATCGATATACCAGGTTCTCCGTACTGGAACTATACCTGTGTATTGACAATCTCCCATCTCGTCTGGCTGAGCACTGAGCAGAGAGGATAAAGCTGAGTGCACAGAACTGACAATGTAAATTATTGCACATTGTTAAAAAATAAAACATAAAAAACAATCTCTGGTTTTGGTTCTCAGAATTGGCAAGAACTCAAACTAAAGTTTCCCAGTACTTTTTGAGCCATGACGCACCTTTTTCAATTAAAACAATCACATCCTTGTCTGCCGTTTTCCTTTCATTATGGATTTTGGATTTAATTTCATCGTCTTCATTAAATCATTATTTTAGCATTCCTGCATTCCTGACAAAATATATACGTTAACCACCCTGCAAAATGTGTTGATATTTTTGTTAAAAATGCTCAAATTTGGCTCAATCAATCATAATTTGAGCACATTTTAAGTGTCTTAAAACAAGATTTGTTAATGGAACAAGCTAAAAATATCTTGTTTTAAAAATATACTATAAATGTCTCCATAGGAATCAATCAATCAATCAATCAATCTTTATTTATAGGGCGCTTTTCCTGCACAGGGCAACACAAAGCGCCTCACAGTCCACACCACACAATGCACAAATCATCACCATTAAAATACAATTAAAAACACATATGTAATTAAAAAGCATTAAAATCACATAAGTAATTTAAAAACATAAAAATCACACAAGTAATTAAAAACAATAAAATAGTTAAAAACACAAAAAGTTACAACAATAAATAACAAGGTGTGTTAAAAAGATAAAATTCTCTAGTTGTATGCACGGGAAAAAAGAAAAGTCTTTAACATGGATTTGAACATTGACAGAGAGGCAGCCAGTCTCACATCCTCAGGAAGACCGTTCCAGACTCCAGCTGCATAAATCTGAAAAGCAGCCTCCCCCTGTCTAGTCCTGACTCTGGGCACTAACAGGAGTCCCGTCCCTGCGCTCCTCAGAGTCCGGGATGGTTCATATGGGACTAGCATATCATGGATGTACTTTGGTGCAAGGCCATGGAGAGACTTGTACACCAGGAGAGCTGCTTTAAAGTCTATTCTCTGGGCCACGGGAAGCCAGTGCAGAGACCTGAGGACCGGACTAATGTGGTCGTACTTCCTGGTTCTAGTCAGGACTCGGGCTGCAGCATTTTGAATATACTGCAACTGTCTTACTGCATGTTTGGAGATACCTGTGAGCAGGCCATTGCAGTAATCCAGCCTACTGGAAACAAAAGAATGGATAAGAATCTCCAAGTCTGCCCTGGACACAATATTTTTAATTTTGGCAATATTTTTCAGATGATAAAAAGCTGCTGATGTTAGCGATCCAATGTGGCTATTGAAGTTTAAGTCAGAGTCCATTATTACTCCCAGATTTCTGACCTTATTTAAGGGCCTTAGGGAGAGAGACTGAAGGTGACAAATGACGGTCTCTCTTTGTTTCTCGGGACCAAAGACAATCATTTCGGTTTTGTCCGCATTTAGCTGGAGAAAATTGCATTGCATCCACTCACTGATCCGCTGGATACAGCGAAGGAGTGAGTCCACCGGCCCATGCTCTCCTGCAGTCAGTGAGACATAGATCTGAGTGTCATCAGCGTAATTGTGGTAGGACACTTTCATACTTTGAATTAACTGACCTAATGGCAGCATGTAAATATTGAACAGGAGAGGTCCCAGAATCGACCCCTGTGGCACTCCGCAGGTCAGGGCCATATTATCTGAGACATAGTTTCCAATCTCCACACAATACTTCCTTTCTTCTAGATAGGACCTAAACCAGCTTAGGGCGGTACCAGCAACACCAACCCAGTCCTCCAGTCTCTGCATGAGAATCTCATGGTCAACGGTGTCGAAAGCGGCACTCAGATCTAACATGACTAAAACAGAGACTTTTCCTGCATCAGTGTTAAGCCGAATATCATTTGTTACCTTGACTAGAGCGGTCTCAGTACTGTGGTGTGGTCTAAAGCCAGACTGAAACATGTCAAATGAGTCATTAGATATTAAAAATTCAGTAAGTTGTTGGTAGGCAACTTTTTCAAGAATTTTTCCCATGAAAGGCAGATTTGAGATGGGACGGTAATTTTCAAGTACCGCAGCATCCAAACTGCTCTTTTTTAGGAGGGGCCTAATGACTGCCTTTTTCAGGGCCATTGGAAATGTTCCAGATAAAAAAGACATGTTTACTATTTGTGTCAATGAGGGTAATAGACTACACATAACAGACTTCAGAAATCTAGGAGGTAGTACATCCAGACTGCAGGTAGAGGAACTAAGACCTGTGATTATCTTTTTAACAGTTTCATCATTGACAGGTGCAAATTGAGCTAGCTCACAAAGCCTCACTGGATGTTGCATTGTTACTTGTGTTGTAGAGGTGATGGCATTTCTGATACCCTGAACCTTGTCTCTGAAGAACTGTGCAAACTCATTACACCTGGATTTGGAGTAGTGTTCTAATGGCAACTCAACAGGGGGATTCGTTAATCTATTGATTGTTGAAAATAGAACATGCAGATTGTTGCTGCAGCCTTCAATAGTTTCAGAAAAGTATAATTCTCTTGTTCTACGTAGTACTCTGTTAAACTCACACAACTTCTCTTTTAAGAGTCTATAATCACCCTGGAGGTTGGACTTTCTCCACTTTCTCTCTGCTCTCCGGCACTCTTGCTTCTGTGCCCTGACCGGGCCTGCTTTTATCCATGGGGCTTTTTGCTTATTTGTGACCATTTTTACCTTCACAGGGGCAATGGCGTCCAGAACATTCAACACACTAGAGGTGACAGAGTTAAGCAGTTCATCTACAGTAGAACATGATGCGTTCTCAAAATGGATCATTCCCATAAATAGTTCACCCGTGTTTTCATTTAAGTGTCTACTTCTAACAATTTCATATTTAGCGGGTGGTCTGGTAGCAAAACACATGTTAAAAAATACACAGAAATGATCCGACAGAGCAACATCAACTACATTAACTTTTGAAATATTCACCCCTTTCGTGATAAGCAGGTCCAAGCGAAAATTAAGCAAGAGTTTGTGAAATGAGACTAAATGGCTTTGTCCCGTTGGTAAATCTTGCTTTACGACAGTCGCAATGTACTAAAATCAAGATAAAAACACCAGATTCAAGCAATCATGACCTCATATTTAATCATTGTTTGCAGTATTCTATCCATTCTAAGCCTTTCACAGAGAGTGCACATGTGTGACCCTCATGCATGTGCTGCTAGAACACGTGTGCCGGCCTGGTGAGACGCTGTTGGTCAGAGGGATGTTTCTCAGGGGGGAGCTGTGTCTTGTCTTGCACACATTAAATATTAACAGAAAGTCTGGGTCTCCTGCTGGGGCCTGTTTGAAGACGTGTGGAGGAGCTCACAGAACAGCGACAATGGGGGTCACACAGAACAACCTGTCCCACACTGTAAGCCCCTGTGACTACACTTCAGCCCACAGCACACAAACATACAAACATACAACTCGGTCCATGCTATGACGCAGGATTCACTAGATTCATTCAATTTCATTTCAATTCAATGTGTTCTTGAAATAATGAAAAACACATAGAGCCATTGGTCCATAAGGTGCGGATGACCAATGTCTATAAATGTTGATAAATGTGGAATGTCTAGTGTCCTGGATCATCACCACTGTCCTTTTGAGCCTCCTTCATTCATTTAAAATCTAAAAACATAGAGTTGCAAACTTTATTGATCATATTTAAAGCCAGAAACAGAGCTCTTCCTGGAGAGTCACAAAAGTTAAAATCTAGATCATTGGAGATATGACTTCAAACAGAAAATAGCACAAACAACTTTAAAACAGATGAGTTTATCTTTTGCCGGAGTAAACTTGGAATTTAAACAAACTTATAAGAGGAAACAATACAAAAGTTTATTCTTGAGTTATGATATACAGCATTTTATACTTGCTCCGAGTCCTTCTTATGCAAAAGTCAGGGGTTTTTGTACTTTTAAGTCTCTCTTCTTCATCATGCTAGAGTTGGAGATTTTTCAAACTTCGTTCCTTATTATGCAAAAGATTGAGATTTTATACTGCTTCTTTTTTATGCTAGAGTTAGAGATTTAATTTAATTTAGTTTATTCATTTGTCTTGTGCTGTGTGCTCCTCATTCCTACAGTCTGAAACTTTTGATTTCCCCACTGTGGGACGAATGAAGGATCTTTTAATCTTAACCTTGTGTTTATGATGAAATGTATGATGCCGTGTATGTGCTGATGATGAAGGCAGAGGGACCAGCCGCAAAACAATTTAGATCTGTTTTGTACCTTTCTGATCATGGAAATGTTTGAAGAATTTGATAAATAATGTGTCATGTATGTTACTACACAGTGCAGTGGAGGCTGTTTCCTTACCTGTCCCATAGCTTGACGTTTCTACAGTTATTGGTGCAGCATCCGGCCGATATCAAAGCTGAAAGCAAGACAAAAGAGAGATGAGAGAAATGTCGGACCAGCCCAGGCTTATTACTCTAACGACACGCTGCTGACATCTGTCCGTTTAGAAAAATAACAGTTAAATTGACTCATAAATAAAACATGACGATTGAGGAGAAATATTGTGTAGACCAAGAGGGAAAACAAGAAGCGGTCGCTGACGGGAGTTTATGAGAGTAATAAACAACGCGTGATTACACCGTACAAAATGTTCCAAGTCTACAATCAAAGAGTGCCATTAAAATGTTCATATTATTAATAAATGCATGATTTGTTCCCACTGCTCGCTGCAGTAGCTGGAAAACAAAATGTTAGTAAGACATTGATTTTAGTATTTATTGTTTCCATCATTGGGACGACTCAACATAATTCACCCTTCTCTTCAAAATTACAGCACAGCACAAAAGTGGACATTCATAAATCAATGTTTATATTCTCTCATTATTCTCATCCAGCAAGTGTTTCTGGTGGTTGGTATTAGAAAATTGTTTTGTAAAAATACATTTTAAAGTAATAATCTCCATAATGTGCATTGTTAACAAATTAGTTGCTGACAGCGGCTTTAATCAGGATTCAGGATTGGTGTTTTTGTCCTATAAGAGATTCTCCTGTGAAATGTATTATGTAGTTCATGTATCTTCTGATTGTGAAATGTTTTCTACCATTTTAACAAGTCACATTGTTGCAGACCTGTGTTTTTTTTTTACCTTGCCCACTATTGCCTTTCCCATGCCAAATATTAAAAACATGAACAGGGGAGTGGGGACAGACCGGCACCACTCCTGACTGGGGCTTGGTAACGCAGGTAAATTTGCACACACCTGGCTCAAAAAACCGGTCGGAGCCAGCTGTAATCGGCTTCTTCTACATTAAGGAACTGATGTCACACTATCGGTGACATTAGCATTCGGTCAGTCCACTCCTAAAATAGACTAATGACCTAATCCTGTTCAGCACTTTGAGATGCCTTGTGTACTGTATGAATTGTGCTATGCAAATAAACTTGCCTTGCCAAATAAACGGTCCGTAGTCACCACACATGCATACTAAGTGTTCTTGTGTGTGAGAATCTGACCTCTACAAGCCAAACACATTAAGAATTCCACATGAGAAAAGGATGTGTGACACTTCCACTCTGCTCCCTTCTATCAGCACAAATGCTAACGGCGTCACAGCATCCAGAGGCGATAACGTAAATATGTATTTGTCTTGTCTGCTGCATCTTAACCCCATCATTTCTCCTGTGAATCTCACTGACTATAAGTGTGCTGAAGATCCTCGAGGGCAGTGCTGACTTTATCTAGATGACAGAGACCAGAGGCCAAGCTCTGCTTTATCTTCTGCTTTCAGAAAAATGTGGCTGTCAAAACACAATTGTGTTATTCTGAAGTATAGGAAGTATTTGATCGTGTATATCAGCAGCTATACAAAAGCCTGCAGCCTTTGCCTGAAGCAGTGTGGCCCTAAATTCACTTACTACCTTTATTTGCCCTCCAAAATGCCTCTTTTATCCGTTCTGTCTAAATCTCCTCCTATTGTCTCTCTGGGCCTCTCTCCCTGCGCGTCCTTAATCATGTTTTCTGCACATTTCTCTCCTCACATTAAAGATTCATGTGGCTCTTGTGACCGCAGACTCAGGCTCAAGATTTCAGTAGCCATCTTTGCTCTGGGCGCTCTGTCTTCTGTTCTTTTGTTTATCTTTGTTTGGGGGAAGGGTGTGAAGCAGTTCACAATAAGATATGACACTGGTCTAAAGATGCAATGTGTTTAGGGTTCCAGACAATGATTGTGCAAAGCAGACTGTTCTAAAGCTCAGGCTTCAACTTTAAAATGTTGACTGTGGTTCAGAGAGAATTCAGCAAACATGTGATGCTTATGCCAGATTGATAATTTAGGACATTATATTATACATGTTTTAGGATAATATAAAATGTATAATATTACCGTTTGTGACTGAATACTCTTCCAAATTCTCAACATTGTGCAGGTCATCAATGACGGAATCATGGAAATGTCAAAGTCGACCTCTAAGGTAGATTACTCTCACTCAGTAAACACACATTTTCATCTAAATACCACTCATTGACTCTTGGCTGAGCGTCTCTAGACCGATACCAACTGCAGGTTTATTTATGTATTTGAGAATGAGAAATACAAATATCCACTTCCAAAAGGCGGCTGAATTAGATCCAGATGTGTTCTTCAAACATCAAACATTTGAGGGGCATGTTGTTGCTCATTAGCAGGTCCAAACTCTGAATCTGAACACTTGAAGTGGAAGCGATTCTACTTGTTACATGTTGTCTTCAGAAGGATGTGACGTGTTTGTGGATGTCAAATTTGATTTTGACATTTGTTGTTATAATTTTGCTCTTGGTTTTACAGTGTGCAGCTGTCAGAAACTGTGCTGCCTCTTGTTCAACAGGTCAGACCTGCACAGTTCAGGGTCTTCGGCCTCAAACCTTGACTGCTCAAGCACAAGCAATTAGCTTAAATGGATTTTCAGTCTCAAGGTTAGCAGTCATTACAAACTGCGGTCCTGTGTCCACGCTGCTGACACACGACCAAACCTGAGCAATCCATTTAAAAGCAGGTCGTTTGATATCTGATGATACCTTCATGCGGCTTAGTTCAAGGACAATTTGGTGGAAAATCCTCAAACAATGTGTTGATTTACTTGGGGCCAAAGTATTATGAGCTAAATTGGATTTATTATGGCATTGGGTCAAGCCGATACAGCAACAATGACATTACTTTCACTCAAGAGCAGAGGAATTTCAAGGCTGTTCTTGAACACAGGGAATTTCCTCTGCTTTAAAGGTACTGATGCTGATCCGTTTGGGAGAAGCTGGTCCCATCAGAAATAACCGAGCCCTTTTTACATGGAATATTCTGCCTGTAATAACCGCACTGGCCTCGCACCAAAGTACATAAGTGACATGTTACTGCCTTAGAAAACCGACTCGGACTCAGAGGAGCACAGGGATGAGCCTCCTGATGGTGGCCGGAGTCAGGACCAAACGTGGGGAGGCCGCCATTCAGATTCATGCAGCCTCCCTGGGGAGGTGTTCCGGGCACGTCCCACCGGGAGGAGGCCCCGGGGAAGACCCAGGACACGCTGGAGGGACTATGTCTCTCAGCTGGCCTGGGAACGCCTTGGGGTCCCCCCGGACGAACTGGAGGAGGTGTGTGTGGATAGGGAAGTCTGGGCGTCTCTGCTTAGACTGCTGCCCCCGCGACCCGGCAACGGATGAAGCGGAAGAAAATGGATGGATGGATGGATGAATTATGCCATAGAAATAAACTTGCCACTGCTTCTCACGAGCTACAGCCGTTTCAGAGCACTAAACTACACTGTACAAGCACGTTTTGTCATGGTTGTCATTCTCAGTTCCTGTTTTTAGTTTGTATTTTCTGTTCTCCTGTGTATTTTTTAGTTTTACTTCCTGTTCTGTTGCTTGCCCTAATGTGTTTCACCTGTGTCTGTGTCGGTCCATTGGATCATTGTCCCTGTGTCCTGTTTTATTCTGGATTTTGGATTTTTGAGTTTTGTTAATTAAATATTTTATATTTGGCAGTTCCACATTTGAGTTCTCGCTTCTGTTCTGCACTTGTAACAATGTTTTGACGTATTTCCCAAATATTTAAATAAAAACTAATGCAACGCTAGGTTCAACTGTGATTGTCAAATTTTAAAAAAGGAGCACATATATTGTTATTATTTATTTTATTTATTATTATTATTTTATCATTGTATTTCTTGTGCATGAACTGTTTTGATTCTCTGATCTGTGTTGGAGAATTCAACTCGGAACCAAACCCCCCCTCCCCTCGCCTCTCCACCAAACCAAACATTCAGCCTTTTCTTTTCTTTGTCACAGCAGGGAGAGTGGCTTGTATATTTTCATTGGTCTGCTCTAACATATTTTTTATACATTTTTGGAGACTATAGGCACCTGGTCAATTTCATTACTTTTTGAAAACACATGATAACGTAACTACTTTTTGGGTTTGGGGAAGTTTTCCAATTTAACAATTTTAAAAAATGCGGCTGAAAAAATTCACTGACTGCATCTTTAAGTCCTCCGAGATAACTAGTGTTGTGATTTAGGGATATACAAGAATAAATTGAAATGAATTGAATTCTTATCTGTATGTGTTGCCATTTGCTTGAAATTGTCTGAAAAGTCTGAGAAGAAATATGTTGAAAAGCACATGATTTGACCTTATTTTTGAACAGTGTAGAGACCTTCTGTCTAATAGTATCGTTTTCAGAAACACATCAAAACAAATCAACACATTATTGATGTCTGGATCTGGCTCGTAAACACGTCAAGCATCACTCCATCTTCAGCCACTTTGGTCTGCCGCCCTCCCTCTCCCTCTGCGCTTCTCTCAACTTACAGGATCAATACAAGGTAATTTCACATGGCTGTTCCCTCAGATCTCCTAAAAATGTGCCACATCAATAATTCAGGGTTTTTGGGCAGAGGGAAGCCAGTGGAGATGCATCGTAGAAAAGTGACCTTCTGTGCAGCCATGGCAGACGAGCGGTAAAAGAGATATCACTGGTAACAGCACACGGCAAAACAAGCCGTCGTGAACAAGGCCACATTCAGGCTGCCACGCCAAGTTACATCCAGCCACGTGTTTTTGAAGCTGGTTTAGTACATTTCATTGAACATGAGACTAATACTGTAGGTTTACCACCCTGGACTATGCAGCACAAACAGATGTATAACAAATCATCCCAGATTAGTGAGTTTAGTAGTCTTGATTGTGTCTTATAGGCCTGTTTTGATAACGACTATATTGACTTTATCAATATGGATAAACATGTTGGATCTCAAAGGTCTGTTCATTATACTTTTTGAGAGATTTTCCATGTTAAACAATAAGGTTTTATCTGTAGATGGTTCAATATAACCAAATATGACATCATTCTGCTGTTTATTTTCATAACGCTAATAAGGCTTC